GCCCCATCCAACCTGCCCTTCAACACCCCCAGGGATGGGGCAGCCACAGCTTCCCTGGGCAACCTGGGCCAGGCTCTCACCACCCTCACAGGGAAGAATTTCTTCATTCAATGAAAATCTCTCCTCTTCCAGCCTAAAGCCCTTACCCCTTGATCTAGCACTCCATGCACTCCTTGTAAAAATCCCTTCTCCAACTTTCCTGTAGCCCCTTCACACACTGGAAGGTGCTCTAAGGTTTCCCCAGAGAGATTCTCTTGCCCCAGTCCCAGATCTATTGGGATTTGCAAAACAAGTGTCAGTTCAGGAAAGCCCCAGGCCTAGAAATGGGGCAGGGGCTGGGAACTGCCACACACATGTGTCTGCTTTAGCTCCTGAGATAGAGGTTAGATGGGTCCTTAGCCTGACCCAGTACAACCACTTTCTGCTAGAGAAGCAGAGATAGAGAGGGGCTTCCTGGAGATCACTGATGGAGGCAGGATGAGGATCCCAGGCTCTGCAGCCCCAGGTCCATCAGCATTTTGGTCTCAGGGGTAACCAACAAGCCACACAAAACATGAAGGCAAATTCCACCATGCTCCTTGCCTTTGCTTTGGAGGAGGATGTGACCATTTCCACAAGGAAAGAGAGAAATCTAGAGGCTGGGATACTCCTGGTCCTCCATGTGTCAGGGTAAGTGAGATGCCAGCACACCCAGCTGATCTGGAAAAGCAGCCGACCAGAGGATCACAAGGAAAGACTGATCTTGTGCTGCATCACAGCATCTTCCCCTGCTCACTGCCTGGGGACACCTACTGTCAAAAGTGACCTCAAGTGGCCCATGAACACCTGTAGGTGGAATGAGAACACCCAGCACATTTGCCCCCACTCTAAGGCACAAGTTGCCTTTCAGGTCACCCTCTGCATTAGGGTCGAAAACTCAACCCAACCAAGAGCAGAGGTGATGCACTGCTTGTTTCAGAGCCAGCAGAGCCCAGGTCAGTAGCATTTAGGCCACCACCCAAATCTCCTAAGCTGCCCAGCAGCCTCCAGACACTTCTGCACCTGGAGCTGACTCAGAGGGCTTTCCTCTGCAGCTCCTGCTGATCTCATGGGTGTTACCAGCCTGAAGTCACCACTGTCTATTCACCTTCCTTTGCCCAGCTTACCTGTCTCTGGTGACTGAGTCAACTCTTCTCTAAACAAGCTCTCTCCTCTTCATTTCACGTGCTGCAGCTTAATACTGTTCACAAGAAGGAACTCAGCTTCACAAATGTACTGCTGGCATCTGGGGTTTTGGCACCCAAGGTTGTCTGATCTGTTTGGGGTTTGCAGGAGTTTTTTGTGGGGGGGTTGTGGTTTTTTTAAGCAAGACAAAACCACTTTCAGTGTTCCCACCAATATGGCAGTTCTGAGGGATCTGCTTGTCCCCCTAATGAAACACACTTAATGCCTTCTGCTCTGGAGTTCATCACTTGCCCCAACCATCTCTGCTGTGTCCTTCCTCCCTGCTTGGGAAACACATCTCCAGCAGGGCTGGCAGTACAGCAGTTCCCTTGGTTCCCAGCCTGAGTCCTT